CCTTCATTTCTTTGTAAGTGGGCAAACTTACAAAATCAGCAGGGGATCATACTTTTTTTCCCCCCACTGTATATATATATATATATATATATATATATTTATATGGCCAAACAGTGAAGATAAAATTTCTGATACTTTGTAATATAAATAAATGAGATGTTTATAATAGTATAATGGATTACTTGCATAAAATGCATATAAATGAGTTGTTACTGTATATTTCCCAATATTATGCCTTATTCAATATGTAAAAGCTCTGTAGACATCATTGTGGGGGACAAAACATAATGCAAAACAATGATGATCAACAGATGTACAAATAAACATTCTTCAAAAGCCTGATGAATCATATTTTATACTTTTAACATAATTTTTATTTTCAAAAAAAGTGCATTGGAGATATTTAATCACATAAACCTAAGTTGCTTCAGTCCAGTTAATGTTCATCTTGAAATATTATTTAATCTTATATTTACATTATGAAAATCATTTCAGATTTCACTGCAAAAACAAATGTACCACAGCCTGAAGGTGGATATTTTTACAATTAAAAGCTGTTTTACTTACTAAAAAATATCAACTATAAGTCAAATGACAGAAGGGATGTCGTAGATTTTTCAGTTGCATTGATCATGTTGAAAATTTAGAGGCCTTAGAGATTCATATGTCAAACATAATACAGCAGGCTTTATAGGGTTAAAGATGAAGTGTTGGTCCAGTTTAATGTGCAAATTATGGTAGGTCGATTCCTCCGATAGTCTAAACACCATGGTGCTTTCAAAACATTGCTTTGCCAACATTGGCTCAACCATTTGGCTTGAATGTAGGACATTAAAACCTGTTTGTCCGAATAATGGCAGATGGGGGGAATGGTCTGTAAACCGGTTTCCTGTTTTGAGTGGCAGGCAGATGGCGACCGGGTCAGGATAGGTGAGATGGAAAAGACCTGCAGCTCATTGTGTTTTCAGACCGGCGGCTTCTCCGGGTATGTTTTGTTTATAGAGTCGAATCTTCAGCATAAGAGAGGAAGGATTACAGACAAACAGCACTCAAGCGTGACAGGATAAGGAGAAGGGAGGTATCAGAGTATTAAACCACAGATACACACACACACACACACTGAACTCCAAACATAATCTGACTCACTTAGAGATTGTCTTTCTTTAATGCTGCAGTGTCTTTGTCCTTCAAATTTGATCTTTCCTCGTCAAACAGATGCTGCGATGCTTTTATTAACTGGCTGGAGAGCGAGAGAGAGGATTCATTCTCAGGTTATTGTATCACTTGTCCTTTCTATATCGTGTTCATAGACTGTCTTTTAGAAGGAGACAAAGAGAGGGAGCGAGAGAGACTATCGTGTCAGGGACGGGGCCAAAGAAAGAGAAGGCACGAGATAATGAGGTGGTGGAGGCAGGGCTTAAGTTTGGGGTGTGGTTGGGTATAAAGTCCAGGACTGAATAGTCTCATCTTGATGCCCTCTAGTCTCATTCCCTTCTTCCCTCCATCTCTTCTCCTTTCTCCATCCCTCGCTCTCTCGGAACCCCTCACATACTGACCTGCGGGGAGATCGGAGGGAGATCATGCTGTCTGTACTGGCACTGACGTCCGTGGTACTCTTGGCACTTAGAGATTGTCTTTCTTTAATGCTGCAGTGTCTTTGTCCTTCAAATTTGATCTTTCCTCGTCAAACAGATGCTGCGATGCTTTTATTAACTGGCTGGAGAGCGAGAGAGAGGATTCATTCTCAGGTTATTGTATCACTTGTCCTTTCTATATCGTGTTCATAGACTGTCTTTTAGAAGGAGACAAAGAGAGGGAGCGAGAGAGACTATCGTGTCAGGGACGGGGCCAAAGAAAGAGAAGGCACGAGATAATGAGGTGGTGGAGGCAGGGCTTAAGTTTGGGGTGTGGTTGGGTATAAAGTCCAGGACTGAATAGTCTCATCTTGATGCCCTCTAGTCTCATTCCCTTCTTCCCTCCATCTCTTCTCCTTTCTCCATCCCTCGCTCTCTCGGAACCCCTCACATACTGACCTGCGGGGAGATCGGAGGGAGATCATGCTGTCTGTACTGGCACTGACGTCCGTGGTACTCTTGGGCATAGGTAAATACATTTCATCCATCTTGCATTTCATCATTTTGTGACAACAAAGCAAACAAACTAACTTTGAAACTAACCAGAAGTCCTTCTCATAAGTGGCTATACAGTATGACTGAATTACTGTACGTTCAGACTCACCTGTTGTTTGTGCACCTATTGCCTACCTGTTCAAAACTGGCCAGGTTTGAGAAATGACGCAGATCAGAAAAGACTGATCACACAGTCAGAATATAGAGACTCTTTCCTTAATTTTTACTGCTCTTTTCTGTTTTAAATAGAACATTTTATTCTTTTAATTATATATCTGTAGGTCTTTAGTTCTTTTTTTAATTTGTTTTAATTTGTATTTGTTTCTTTGGTTTTTCTAATTTTACAAAAATATTAACTAGAATAAACTGCAGTATCAAGGACATTACAAAAACAAGCATTTGTTCTTTTTTTTCTTGTGAGTCAAGGTTTATTTTTGTATCAGTTGTCTATTCAATGAATTTGAGCTTTTTTAATACTTTCTAACGTGTACAGTACTTGAAATGCTTACTCTACTGAATATATTAACAATACAAATGCTGTTTTATGTTGTCATATTTTTTAGTTTTTATTATTCCAAATTCTTAAAAATAATATATATGTATTAGAAGGAGACAAAGAGAGGGAGTGAGACAGACTGTCTTGTCAGGGATATATACATACAATCATCATTTTTATGTATAAACTTTTTAATATGTATATGTACATAATATGTAATGTTCAGTAAATTGAGGAAGTAAGAAAAATTCACAGTTGAATTTATGATCTAATTGTTTACTTTATTTGATATTTACATTTTTTTAATTTGTGCAAATTAATATTTCTGTAGCTATAATTGAAAAGAAATCCTTAGTGACAAATTGTTGACTTTTCAAGCTTCAGAGATGTTCTTTAGAATTAAAATTATTATTCACATTTCACATCTCTAACTTTACGGTTTTATTCATTTTTTTTTAGATTTGTATCCCCATGTGGCTAATATTCCTGACTATGTGTGTTTGTATGCTCCAGCCTCTCAGACCACGGCTATAGTTGTGTACACAAGCTGGGAGAGACATGCGCTGGTGGGCACAGATGTCAGACTCTCCTGCTCTTTCTTCTCTTGGAAATGGACTTCTCCAGAAGTAACCTTCTCATGGCACTACCGTCCAGATAGGGCAAGAGACAGCATCGCTGTGCGTAGAAATGCAGAAACTCACTATTTTAACACACACCTACACCTTTTCTGGTCAACAGTTATGTGAAAGAAATGATTTAAAGTGATAGTTAACCCAAAAATGACATTTTAAATAACTCAACCCATATAGCATATTGTAGCATGGAACACAGAGATATCTGGCAGAATGTCCAGGCTGCTCTTTTCTTTACCCAGGCCCCCCATCCACTTTCATCTTATGTAAAAAAGGGGCCTGCACAGACTGCTAAACATCTTTTTTTTTGTGTGTGTTTCTTTGCAAGAGAGAACGTTATACAGGTTTGACAGAACATGAGTGAGAATAAATGACAATGTTTGTTTTTGGGTGAACTTTCTCTTTAAGATGTTGTGTCTATACAGACAAACACACACGAAACAAATGAACAGAACATTTTATAATAAATCAATTGACTAATCTGCAGATTAACTGCACTGATTTCATTTGAGATCATTTATTTTTTAAACGTCACACTTATTTCTGAATAGTCAAGCATTCTTCAGCAAACCAAGGCAACAAAGGCACATCAAAAGAAGGACTTTTTCACGTCACATAACTTAATTTGACTGGATGCCTTATTGTAGGTCTATATTCCAGGATATCTGAAAAGAAAATTAAAAAGGCAGTGCTTGCTTGAGAGCAGCTACTTCAGTTTCACAAGTTTTTAATAATTATTTTAATTTGCAATTACAGCATGAGGCCTCATAATATTAATTTAGTGTGATTGCATTTCCCTAAGCCTGTTAAAAGGTGTATGCACTGGTAGTGTAACTCACATATCTGTATGAAAACATGCCCACCCCATGGGAATATCCTTGTGTCTGTGTGGTTTGTAGAGATAATTACCTTGCAAACAGAAATATTAGTTCCTTGTGGGTGTAGTTCTGCTTTCCAAATTGTACTGTACCGTGCAAGTCCTTAAGTTGGCCAACCGGCTGCATTTATTTCTGGATGCATTTTCATACAGGTAATTCTAGTAGTTCAAAATCTAATTTCATTCGCTACGCAGTGGAACAGAGTGAATTGAATAGCATGACTTCATTTAATTTGTAAATTAGTTTATCAGAAAATGTAATTTGATCAAAAATTATAAATCTGTAAAATCACATTTTCCACTGTAAGTAGCTTTTCTGTGAAATTTCTCGGCCTTCTTTTTAACGGATGCATTTGATATAATCAAATCTAATATAGTTTTACATTTTATGATAAGATATAGGATGATAATATAAGCTGTCTATCATTATTTAGATTTTCCACTACACAGGCGGAGTACCCTATGTGGATAACAAAGGCCCGTTCCGGGACCGTCTGGAATTTGTGGGGAACCCCAGTCGCCGCGATGGTTCTATCCTGATCAAGAACGTCGACATTGCAGACAACGGAACCTTCACCTGTGATGCCAAGAACCCACCTGACATTGCTGGCAGCCCCTCTAACGTTCGACTGCTTGTGTTTGAGAATGGTAACAGATCACTTTGAACATTTTTGTCTTCATCCACTAACAAAAAATTATTTTAAGAACCAAAAATGGCTGCTTTGCAGAGAAACGTGCTGCACAAGAAAACCCTTTGCTTTCCTCTCATGCTGCAGTTACTATCAAGACTGCTTTTTGCCTTTAGGCCCATCTTATTCCAGGGTGGCATACAAAATCTAGGAGATCATATGGCAGGAGATGAAAGTTTGCTGCTAATGGAAGCACAAAATAACAGTAAAGCAGAGAGACCTGAGTGGTTTCCTTGTGTGGTCGTACATTTTTTCTGAGAGTACAATTTCCATGAAAAATAGCCATTGTTGAATCCAAATGCCTCACACAGAGCCTAATTCATCAAATAAATGCTTTTCTGCACAGGTGTTTTTGATTTTCCTCTTTGTTTCCCTTTTAAAAGTAAATTTAACTTCTCAGTGCGGTATTAGTGGGATATGTCGAGGAAAAAATGAAAACATTTCCAGGTGGACATTGATTGATGTTGTTTGGAGTTATTTTTCAGTAATATAGTCGTGTCTGTAAAAACCCACACCACACAAAACAGGTGCATTAAGGCAAAGACACAATGCAACTAATAGATCAGTAAAACTGTACAGGAGCTCTTTAATCTGCAGGCCTCAACGTTTCTCACTTTATATTCTCTCTTTTTCTCTCAGTTCCAGTCGAGGCTGGTGTGATAACAGGGGCTATTATTGGCGTAGTGTTGGGACTGCTGATCCTCATTGTGGCAATTTACTATCTGATGCGTTTCCTGGTCGCCAGACGAGTGTTCAGCTTGAGCATGAGGTCAGTCTGGGAGCATCTGCTCTCTCAAGCCCGACCCGACCCTCTGCCCAGCCTTGACACACATACTCCTATTCACACACACACACACACACGCTTACCACTACACAACCCAGATCCCCACCAGTCACACACTCACACAAAAACACACGTCATGAGCAAGGCATTGACAGAACCCCCAACCAAACTGGGGACTACTAAGTCGCCTATTCTTGCATAGCCAGACTAAATGCACAATTATTTTACCAAGAACTGCACATATTTGAGTGACATTTGAGCAAAAAAAAATGCTGTTTGTTTTGTTTTTATATGCCTGTCCATTATAGTCTTCCATAAATATTACGTATTAATGTACAGTAACTCAATATAGTGTTCTACTTGTAAATGACAAACTTTAGCAAATCTAGTGATTAGTTCTTCGATTGAGGTGCTTGTTCTATCAACTTTGAACAACTGTTCAACAACTTGTCAACTGTAAAAAAAATAAATAAATCAGAGTACCTTCACAACATTAACAAGCAGTTGAGTCCTCCATCCACCAGGTGGCCACATTGTTCATGCAATTTTTGTATTTTTGTCCCCTTAGTAAACATGGCAAGAAAGGCAAAGGAAAAGAAGGATCACAGCAAAAACAGGCAAGTGCCCACCTGCGTCCACTCTAAACATGCACACAAACACACACACACACACACACACACACATACACACATGCTTGCTAGTTTCTTTCTCTTGCCTCCTGTCCTCTAGTGGTCTCCCCCTCTTTTGTCTGTGGTTAGTTTTGACCAAGGTCCTTTTTAAAACAAGTTTGTCCATTTCCACACACTTCCAGTCAAAAGTTCAGAATATTTATATTCTTATGCTGACCAAGGAGGAATTTATTTGATCAAAAATACAGTAATTTGTTAAATATCATTGCAATTTAAAATAACTATTTTCTGTTTTAATATATGTTAAATTACAATTTATTCTTATCATGCAAAGCTGAATTTTCAGCAGCAATTACTTCAGTGTCACATGATCATGAAATCATTCTAATACGCTGATTTGGGACTTAAGAAATATTTCTAATTATTAGCAATGTTGAAAACAGTTGTGCCGCTTAATATTTTTGTAAAAACTGTGAAACAATACTCAAAGGTTTGAGGTAAGTAAGATTTGTTAAAAATTAATTCATACTTTTATTTAGCAAAGGTGCATGAAATTGATCCAAAGTGACGGTAAAGACATAATTCATGTAAGTGCTGTTCTTTTGAACTTTCTATTTATCAAAGAATCCTTAGGGGGGGAAATTCCACAAAAAATATTAAGGAGCAAAACCGTTTCCAGTGATAATAAGAACCATTATTAATAATTGAGCACGTATAATAACTGAGCACCAAATCGGCATATTAAAATGATTTCTGAAGGATCATGTGGCACAGAAGTAATGGTTGCTGAACTGAGGACTGAAGTAATGGTTGCTGAAAATTCAGCTTTGCCATCACTGGAATAAATTACATTTAAAAATATATTTTAAAAAATATGATTAAATAAATGCAGCCTTGGTGAGCATACACTTTTTTTTTTTTCAAAAACAAAAAAAATATTCTTAATTATTCCAAACTTTTGACTGATAGTATATATTGGGCTTAATTAAGGCTTAACCAGATAAAATAATATAATAAATATAATAAATTAAACTGTAATATAAAAAAAAAAGTAAAATAAAATAGTAATTATTTATATTAATATATAAATATAATATAATAAAATAAATGTAATGTAATAATAAAAATAAGCAATAAAGAAGTGTCAGGTTCATGGAAGTCGAAACTCCAATTAAAGCTACATCTACCTCAGTGTTTGTGCTCCTGTCTGCATGCCAGTTTATGAAGCCTCATTTACAATGCATGTAAACATACTTGTAATCCAGTACATGTCTAGACTAGAGTAGCTGCACCTCATCAAAAATAGAAGCAGGGGAGATTTGGGATATAGCATTGGTGTCAAAACTACATTTTTTGAAGGATACAAGCACACCGGCAAGTTTATTGTTGCTACATATACTGCAATTGTGTGCAATAAGCCATGTGGGGAAATATATATATATTAGGCTACAGTATAACAATTCTTAAGATACCAATGGGACGACATTAAAGGTTAAACCAAAATGCAGAAAATGGAAATTGATTTGTGGTCCAGATTTAAGAATTCATTATCACTCTCAGCTCTTCCCTATGGTCCTGTGGATTTAGGGATCACCATATCAGTGTCATTGAGCTGGCAGTCAAATGGAGCTCATACATCTTTTTCTGTGCTAACGTGCCATTCATTTACATACCACCTTACTTTTCTTTTTCTATCTCTCTGGGTTTATTTTCTTCTGTGCACTTTTCCATGCCATTATCCTTCACTTCCTTCATATCACTGATTTTTCTCCTCTAGCTGTCTCGTCCCCTCCCTTTCCTGCTGTCCTCCTTTCACTTCACAGTAGGGCTGGGTATCGATTCAGATGTTCCAATTCGATTCGATTTCGATTTTCTATTCGATTTCGATTTTTGATTCGATATTCGATTCGATTTTTGATTTCAATTCTCGATTCCTGAAAAGATACTTTTAAAATGAAACAAACTGCCAGCAGGTGGCGGTAAGTCACTGATTTTTATCACTGAATCATTCATTCAATTGATTCATTCGAACGGCTGATTCATTCAAGAATGAATCAAGTGACTGTCTTTATGAATGGGTAATCATGAATCACTGACTCACTAGATTCGTTCAGAAATGCCCGTTCATTCATAAACGAGACACCGCTGTGTTTGAATGGAGATGCGCAGCGGCTCCGCTGTGTCTTTGTTTTAAACTATTTTCGACTACGAAATAGAGCAAAATCAGACAATGTAAGTCACTTAATATTAACTTCTTGTTTATTGAATTGTATTGTATTAAATCAGTATCACATTTACAAACTCCCTTAAAAATCATTAAAAGCTGTCACTCATCTTAGTTCATCTCGATCTCACATTTATAATCAACGAAGCTCTCTACACTGCGCAATGAATCTCTCATTTTGCTTATGAAAGGATTCGTGAGATATGTCTGTGATACATTACTCAACGCTGCAAAAACACGTAGAAACATTTGAAGCTCCCCTGAGCGCAATCACAAGTATGATGAAGATTTGGTCAGTCGCACTGGTGCTCCTAAAAAAATGTTTATAGTCGCACGCAGTAGTTTTCAGTCGCAAATGCGACTGAAATGGTCGCACTGTAGAGCCCTGGATCCGCCATTTTAAGCAATGAATGAATGACGGACTCTTTGTTGTAACATCGCGCAAGGCAAATAAGGGGGTGACATCTAGTGGATTAGACTAGTAATAAGATTAACGTAAATCTTATGTTCAATGTTTGCAGAAATAAATATAGAAAAAAATCGATTCGTGGCCTTTGAGAATCGATATTGAATCGACCACATTTTAAAAAACGATATATCGAAAAATCGATTTTTTTGCCCAGCCCTACTTCACAGGTGAACAGTAAAATGCTGTCAGACTGAATCATGTATCTGCTTTAATCATATATTATATCATGACAAACACCATCACGTACAATCAAGCCACTGCCTTCCTCACACACATCTAATCTCTTACAGGATCAAACTAGCAGATTTCCAGTCTTGTATTGTTTATGTTCTTTCTGTCTTTATTGCCTTTCTTCTTTCTTTCTTTCTGTCATCGGTTTCAGTATACGCTCCTCTATTTGTGCTCCTCTGTGTGCGTCTCCTGTCAGCTTCACTCTTTCTCTTTCACTTCTTTATTTTCTTGGTTCTGTCAGTGTAAACCCAGTCCACCCTCCAATATCCAGTGAACTGAAGGCAGGTTGATAAAGATTCTATGGGCTGCAGACTAGAACTAAGATCTCAGGACTTTAAAATCCCATAGCGGAAACTTGCTGCATAGTTTTACATGAGTTTAAAGTGTATTTATATTACAAAAGCAGTAAAAAAAAAAAAAAAAAAAACTAAACCTTTCTGTGACATATTTCTAGATTTGATGTCACAAAGAACTTAAAGGAATATTTTTGGGTTAAAAACAAGTTAAGTTCTGTCAACAGAATTCTAAATTCTGTGGTAATCAAGTTTAACTTGTATTTATTCTGGAATATTCCTTTAAAGGTGAAGTGTTTAATTTATGCACTACTAGTAGCATCAAACGAAAATGGCATTATTTTTGACAGTATCTTTCCAAAACCCTCCTACCACCCTTTTATAGTTTTGACAAACTGGACATCCTGCCATAAACTTAGAATGAAATGTTTTACTCACTGTAAAACTGGGTTAAAAGAAAGTATTTTACTTGAAAAAAAAAAATGATTCACTTCACCTTTAACTGAGTTACATGCAGCACCATTTCAGGTTTCTGACAGAACTGAACCTTCTTTATGAAAAAACAAAAGATAATCAAACATGTTTCAGCATCCCAAGGGGTCAAAGGTCAAGATTATTTTATTTAGGTGCTGTGATGTCACGCTATCACTCCCTAACTGGCCACTTCCTGTTTTGTCCTCCCTTTCCAGAAACCGAAAGTTCCCCTGGTGTTCATCTCCTTCTAACCCCTCGTTTAGCATTTCACTCTCTTTTTTTTCTTCTTCTTCTTCTTCTCTTCTGTAATGAAACTACCTCCCTTATTCTGGTTCCTCATATCCGTTAAACTCATCTGACCATTCCCACCTTAACCCACAAGCCCTTCTTTTTCCTTCTCCCCTTTCTCGTTTCCATTTTTGCTTTCTTTTTATTCCTCTATTTCTCTCTCTCTCTCTCTTTCCTCCCGTAGTGACTCACTCCTCCCCTCTCCACACTCCCTCTCTTTCCAGGCTTTGGCTGTGACGGATCCGGCCAAGCTGAAAGCGGCAGCGTCAGAGAAGAAGAAACAGGAGTCTCGCAGGGAGAAGAAATAGGGATTGTGGAGCAGAGAGCTAGAGCTCCTGAGCGGGGCCTCCTCCACCCAGACCCAAGCCCAGGAAGAGGCAGCGGGGATGGGCAGGCAGGACAGGGTTCTTATGACCATTGAGCTAGAGCTCACTAAACAGGAGAGAGAGGGAGGGCAAACTAAAACGAGTCCCGCTGCGGTCTTTTCTCAACTTGCGCGCAAATTCACTCTCAAGTGAGAGAGACGGGTATGAAAAGAGGGGGTGGTGGAGAGTTTTGGAGGCAAGGAGATAAAGATGAATCCTTAAAAACCGGAGGACAGGAGAGGGGTGAAATTTGTCTCATTTTAATTCAATTCCAAATGAAAAAAGTGTGGTTCCACAAAAAAAAAAGACTGTCCAATCTATGTGCGGCACGATAAAACTACAAACACAATATCTATGAATTTACTTGCAGCTGTGACAAGATATTTTATGATTACAATACATAATTATTATATAATTTGATATCATGTGGGTTGTTTGGGTTCTGTCCTTGCTATGTTCAGCTATGTAGCTCCGCCCACATTAAAATCTAATTCATTCAAAAGCACTCTCCGCATTCAGTGAGGTTCAAAATTCTGAATAGCTTCTACTGTATTTAGCATTTTTTTATTTCAGTACATTTTGATGATAAACGATATAATCAGCTTAACAATTTGAAAGAAAATTTAATTTAAAAAAATGAATTTAAAGATTTCAGAATCTGTTAGTATTTGATTTGTCCCTCTTTTGCTTAAGAGCAGCATTCGAGCTGCTTGAACTCCACAAGTTTGTGTAAAACCTGATTTGAGATGGTCCAAACGTCATCTTGAGCTCAAGTGGAAGCAAGAACATCTTACTGTACAAATGAGTTTACATGCACAATATTTCTCATTAAACTACAAATAGTGCATCATTTTAGGTCCTAAATCCTAAAACCTTCTGGCATGTTTCCAGGTTTACATTAGCTCAAATCCCAGGTTTTCATTGTGGACTTTTGAACCCCACTCGAGTCGTATATTGTACATCTGTTCTGTGAAAATGCGCTCAGTTTTTGCTTTCAGGGAAAACAAGTTGTTGTGTTGCAACCGGTTAGGACACAGTCTTTTTTTTTTTTTAAATCACACATTCACAACAAAACCCAGAGCTTTGAGCCATCCATTACGCACACACTGACAGTTTGTGCAGAGCTGTAATAGTGGCAGAATGGTTTCCTCTTGTTAAGAGACAGACAACTCTCTCTCTCTCTCTCTTTCTCTCTATACACATACAATCTTATACAAGAACACAATCCAAGCTGTACACTTTTCACACTTTGCACTTTTGTTAAAAAATGATTTTGGAAACTTTATATTAACTGACTTTTTTTCTCATTCCCTCCCTCTCTTTCTATTTTTCTCTGTTTTACTGCCTGTCTCTCTGTTTTTTTCCCCCTATTCTCTAATCTCTTTTCCTTATAGCACTTCTGACACCTTTTTTGTCTTTTTTCTACTTTTCCATCTATTCTTTCACCATTCTTGTCATCTGATATACTGGTGCTATTACATCACTTCCTGTAGGCCGGCCCCCTAAAGTAGCCTCCCTCCCCATCCTTCTTTTACTGAGAGCTAAATATAGCACTAGTTTTTTTTTTAGTCATGGAAACAAACACACTTCCTCACTGTTAAAATTTCATTTCAGTCACATAAAATTTGTTCACATTTCGTTCAACACACTAACACTCATGGCGTGATCTCATGTATCCCATCAAGCAATTTTAAGTGCTATCACAATAGGGTTTTTTTGACAGGAATTTGAATCTGACTTAGAGTTGTGGTGTGTTTTTGCTCTGACTGCAGTGACTGAAATACCCAAAATGACGTTGATACTGTTGGCAGAGACATTCAAACACACACGCTGTGTGAGAGTTACTTGATACTCTAAGTCAAATTCTCACGTCTGTCCGCATAAGCTGTTGTCTGACAAACAGCTGATTATTTTAACACTCTCTTGTAACTGGAGAACTATCTATGTCTTCCTTCTGTCCAGTGAGGGCCGGCTCCTACGGTTGCACTTTTCCCCCAAACATCTCCACACATATCATTGGCAAGGCCCATCGCTCCAACCAGAGTCATAGTTTTACTTCACCTCTCTCTAATCCTCCTCTAACTATCATGAATGCTCATCCACCACCACCTCTTCTCATCCCCTGTTTCTGCTGGTAAGAATACCCCAGTGCTCTCTCCTGCCCCTTGCTGCCCACAGGAGAAAACATTTTCATTCGGCCGTACTGTCGCAAAGATGTCAATGCAAAAAAATGGAAGTTCTTTTAGCTAGCTCTCTGCTGACTAGGAAAAATGCGTGTTTTTCACGATTTTTGCATGTGTGTTTTAAGTCTGACGATATGTCTGTAACCTGTCAACATGTTTGGGGAACAAAACGACATAAAAACAACATTCGTCACGTCATCGTTAGTAATGACAAGCTGTGCAGCAGCGCCCTGGGACTGTTTGTGTGTTGGAAGCAAATGTAATAGAGTTTAATGATGTTTAATAATATTTCTGCACTTTCATTTGACTGACATGGCAGAATTCATGTGGTTGTTTCTTCATGACAGTGTTTACCATCGGGACGTTGGCATGTTAAGGCTACGGGAAATGATGCAATGAGGGTGGACAGGTTTTTGGAAGTTTTTGAGAGAGAAATAAATTATAAAATACTGGGATGAAGACTTGGACTGAACTCATATTCAGGTGAAAAGTCATGCCAAAGTACAATAAACATCTCAGTCTCACAGGATATGTTTTTCTGTTCAAGTCTTCATGTCTATGCATGTCAGCCCCAAACCATGCGTGGTCTCTCAGTGGGAATGTTAGGAAAAGCTATAGAATTGCAAGGGCTTGTGGGAAATATGTTTGTTAGCCTACAGACAGATGCTTTTTATGCATCTCAGAGTAAATGTCAAGCAGCCACATGGTACCTGCCATTAAACTGTTTAAATATCGGGCAATTCCCATGTTGTATGTATTGTGCACCTGTATTGGTACAGGTCTAGGTAACCGTTCTCTCTTCAAACTCCATTAAAAAGTCTAATCATTTTTTACTTTTATTTTATCTTTAACCTAGCTAACTTTGGTTTTCTGTAAAATGTCTTGTAAAAAGAAAAATCTCAAATTGAAATAATTTCAGAAAAATGTCAATAAAAAAAATCAGATCCCTTGTGTGTTTTTGTGTGCACTGAAAGAATCACCTGAATAACCATCAGTGATGCAGATGAGTGAATAACTCTATAAATTATGGTTTAGATGTAGCCTAAATGATACATGTATTAATGTAAGAACTGCATAACTGGGCAAGTTGAAAATGTAAAAAAAAAAAAAAAGTTCGTTCATAAATTCGTGTGACTCTTGTTTACTTTTATCTCGTGTGTTGTTTTGGCGCACGGGCTAGTCAACATCGTTTTTTT